TGTTTGAGTCTATGAAGGTCAAGAGAGCCTCATGGAATGGTATCAACAAGATATTTCACTCTCTAAACTATTTTGAAGTTGAGATCTTAAAGCTCTACAGACTCAATGAAGTCTTTAACAATTTCTTGCAAATCTTTATGAATCCATGAAGTTCAAGAGAGCCTTTTTTTTCAACATGCACACCATTGATTGGTATAAATAAGATTTTTTTATCAGTAACTTTAACACTCTTGTGCAATTCGTGACCTGTGAGGGGTGAACTCACGACTAAGGTGAGAGAGATATGGATGTTAATCATTAAGCCGGTGCCGGGGCCGTCCTCCATAAGATATTTAATGCACTTCGTTCTACATGCTCAATAAAGTCATCAACTATGTCTTGAGAATCATTATTAGTCCTTTGTAGCCTTTTGGCAACAGATACATCATAGCGTAGTATCAATAAATTATAAATTATTGTGCTGTGGTTGTGGGTAGTCGCAGGTAGTCGACGACTACTTAGCTCCAAACCGATAAAAAGTTTTCAAAATAGGTAAAATACAGCAATCCAAACTACACACAAAACACAAAAATTGTATCTTTAAAAATTTTAACATTTCAAATTAAAAGCTTCTCGAATTTGGTAGTTTTAACTACGAATATTTTCAAAATGAATTGTTCTTCTTTGGTTTGAAAGTTTTTCTTTCACTATCGACATGGTATTTTAAAAGTTCATACTTTTAAAACAAAAATTATACAACTGTCAAAATCGCCTCTTGAAAAGCTCATTGTCATGGTCCAAAAATCCAATAGGGCATATAGTACACGCAGAAAAATGGATTTTTGTTTCAGGGCCTAATGTATTTTGTTCTTGATTCAAACATATTGTATCACTATTTCAACAATACATATTTTTGAATCAACAAAATAGTTTGTAGAATCAACAAACAGATTATTAACTCTACAACCGGTTTGTTGATTCAAAAATATTTTTCTTTGAATTAACCGAATAATATATTTGAATCTATGCCAAAAATATATTAGGCCCTGAGCCAAAAATATATCCATTTGAATTTAAGAATCATTTCTCTGCGTGATATGAGAATCAAACCGCAGAAAATTAATCGTGCATCGTGCAGTTCCGGGAACCGATTCCGGTACCGGAGGTAATGAGAAAGAGTAAAGTTTTCGCAGAAGGTAAGATTGCAACAGATATTTCGAGAGTGGTTTTGAAAAACTAAATGATTATTTTCCAGATCGCCAGCATATTGGGACGTTAGAGCACACTGCAGAGATTTTCGGTGGCTATCAATAGAGTTTGCAATGTATCGCTGGAGGGATTACAGATTCCGTTCGTTTCTATAAGATACTGGTAAGATTTAGTCGCACCAGGTTTCGCTGCTTATCGTCGGCCAGCAGTGTAAACAAGATGCACTTTCGTTCGACAAAAGTTCACTGCATGTTGGAGCCCCGCGTCTGGGAGAAAACCTTCACGAAAGCCATCCGCCAAAGAAAACATCCCTGAAATTAACATCCTGATGTGAATGAAAAATAAAATATGTGTATATTAACAAAATATTTAAATAAATATAAATATTGGTTACGTTTCCTTTCATAAAAGCAAATAAATTAAAAATAATTCGTATTTGAGATGAAAACTTATACTAATTACGGTGAAATAGCCTTCTTTTGAAGCAAAACTTTTCCAACGTCAATCTTAAAGTATTCGGTTTTTATTTTGACAGTTCTACAATTCGATTTGAAAGTTTAAACTTTTAAAATTAATAATATGCTAAACTTTTGTTTTGAAAGTTGGCTGACTTCCATTTTGAAAGTTAAATACTTTCTACCAAAAAGAACCAATGCAAACTTTTAATTCTATCAACGGTTTTTTTTTTTAATTTTATCAATGATTATTTTTTGTGTGTAGGGAAAGAAAAATTATGCATACACGTTTAAATAAGAGCAAAATCTCACCAGAAATGTTAGTTGGATACCTTCGAACACTTGCACCCTCAATTGACAAGTTCGACGAAAAGTTGCATTTTTCGCAAAATATTTTACTTTTGGTTTGGTAAACAACGAAAATGAAATGGCATGTACCCCTGGTAAAAATGGACCGATAAAAATTGATCAAAATCGTTAAATTTGAAATTTTCAGGGAAACATTCTGAACGGAAGAAAAATGACAATGTCAGTATAAAAGAAAAAAACTGGTTGCTTTGATGGCGCACATAATGTGTATTTCAGCGCGGCGCAGGACACTATAGACAAGAGCTTTTTTATGGTTTAGTAAAAGCACAAAGCGCAAGCGTGAATGAACCTGTTACGTTTGGGCAGACAGCTGAGATTAGGAAGAAATAGGGAGAGTACAGTCCATTCAAAGGAGTGAATGAGCTCAGTTCGCTCTGTAAAAAAGGTGTCAATAAAACTAAGAATTGTTCAAGGCAAAATCGTGTGTTGTGATTTAGTGATTAATTTCCCTGCACCAAGCTATCGAACTAAACATTTGGTTCAATCGAACCGGATGAGCGGACATTTTGTCCGCCAAACGTAGTGCTTACGGAAATTTAGTTGCTGTCGTGTACCGTGTGCAAAAGTTCGGTCCGGGGCCGAAGGTCAGAAAACGTTATGTCCGTGGCATAGTACGGGTTCTGGCAGTCTTTGCACCGTGTGCAAAAGTGGAATTAGTGAGGCCCATGACCGAAGATTGCGCTTTGAAACAGAACGCAACAGAACGTTCGTGGCGTAATCAATGCAAACTAGAACACCCCGTGTGCGTAGTGTGGTCCGTGGCCAGAATATCGAAAATGATTATGTCCGTGGCATAATCATTGGCAAATCAAGCATATCGTGTGCGTAGTACAGTTCGTGAATGAAAATCGAACGCAAGTTTGGTAGTGATTATGCTTGTAGATGTGGATGTTGGATAATTAAACGCACCGTATGCGTAGTGCCGATAAAACGAACGTTACAATTTGTGATGCACCGTGTGCATATATTGTAACTCAAGGTCAAAGTGAACTAGTAGACGTGCCCGTGGCACATCACTAGTTGAACGATTCCTGAGAAGTGTAGACATGAGTGACTGTGAAACACCACGAGGAGTGTTGCAACAATTAACAAGAAGAAACATTTTGGAAGCGCTAACAGGTTCACGTATTGAACAAGAGAATACCATTCCGTCAATCGCGGAACAGAAGCTTTTAAAGGAAGTGCTCGAGAAACAATGGTATCCAACTTGGAGGTGCTGAAGGATCAGCGTGAACTGATCATAGATAAATTCATCAGGATGAAGGAATCGTTGCAAGGAGAAGTCAAAATTCATTTGCTCAATCTTCACCTTGATACACTGCGGCGGTGTGCGAACGAATTTGACAAAATACATGCCGAAATTTCTGTGCTGCTGCCGAGAAATCAACGAGCTGCTGAACACAAAGAGTATGCGGTCTTCGAAAAAAATCACAACGAACTTTACGTTGACTTGCAGACTATGATCGCCGCAGCGCAAGAAGCAAGTAATGTAAGACCAGGTACGTCAAGTAGTGTCTCTAGTTTTCAACAGCCGATTATTGTGCAAGCGCCAGCACCGCAACTGCATGATCCATTTCCAACGTTTGACCGGACACCGTACAACCTTAAGAGCCGCGGTTCTGCGAGGAGTAAGATCGATCAGGCCGTCGTGAACAACAACGACTACGAAATGGCTTGAAAGATTCTGGAGGACGCATACGAGGATAAACGGCTGATACTGGATACTCACGTTGACGCTATCCTGGATTGCGCAAAGGTCAACAAGGAAAACCGTGGGCAATCGATTTCTCAGCTGGTTGAAACGTGTACGAAGCACGTCGGTTCTTTGAAAGGTCATGGCTATCCTGTTGAAGGCTTGGGGGAATTGATTGTGTCTAACGTTCTCTATAAGAAGCACAAAGATACGCAGGAGTAGTGAGAGCTGAAGCTGACTAAGGGAGAAATTCCTAAATACGATAGATTTTTTGAATTTGTTCGTTAACGAGAACGCGTTCTACAGCGTACGAATCGCTCACAGCAACAAGAGGCAATGGTACAGACCAAACAACGTGCAATGAGTAACCAGAAGGTTCAAGTACAGACATCAAAGTTGTTCATACAGACGGTAAGATAAACGTGTCCGTGCTGTGATGCAGAGCACGTTATTTATAAGTGCGCGAAGTTGCAGAGTATGGAGTTCCCGGAACGCAAATCATTTGCTGCGAAAGCGGGTTTGTGCTACAATTACCTGAAGCAAAAACATCGTGTAATCGACTGTCCATCCGACCAATGGTGCAAGGTCCAAGATTACGGTCGGAAGCATCATAGTCTGTTGCATCCTAGAGATACAGCAGAGAACACGAGCGAAGAAGATAAGTCCCCATCCCCAGGCATGAAGACGCAAGACGCAAGAAAACGCAGGAGAAGCAAGCCGTAGAATGCTCAAGTGCAACGACATTGTGTGCACATATTGGCACAACAAAGCGACAGGTACTGTTGTCAACGGCAGAGATTTTCGTGGTAGGAACAGGAGATTCCACCGTTAAGTGTCGTGCGCTGTTAGATTCAGGATCCGACAGTCACATACTCACAGAGAGGTTGGCAAGTAAGTTGATGTTGAAGATGGATCGCTGATCTCAACGACATTCAGACTCGAGTAAAGTACTTAGTTTCGACGAAAATTCTGTCACGAATCAGTTCGTTCACGACGAGTGAATTAGATTTCTTTGTCGTACCAAGGGTACCATCGAACGTACCCGTCGTGGAGATCGATACTAAATGCTCGAAACTACCTTATGGTGTGCAGTTAGCGGATCCGTTGTTCTACGCTCCAGGAGAAATTGATATGATTATTGGCAACGAAATATTTTTCGACTTGGTGAAGAAGGGACGCTTGAAGACAGAGAACAGTGCTGTAGCCTTAGCTGAAACTGAATTCGGCTGGGTTGTCGGAGGTTTAGTGCACACTAGCGTCAGTTCAGTAAACAAGAAGAGATCCTGAATGAAACTATGGTGAAGTTTTGGGAAATCGAGGACGTTCGTCTGGGTTCAACTTTGTCGGTGGCAGAAGCTGCTGTTGAGCAGCTTCCCGACGAATTGTTGCATCAAAGGCAGCATTTTTTAGAAGAGCTACCGGCAATCAATCAAAAACAAAAGCAACGTTTTGTAGTTCTCAGTAATACGACATGGATTGAATTACATGGATTTTCTGATGCCTCCATGCGGGCATATGGATCTGTGGTGTACATCCGAAGCATAACTGCAGAAGGCACAATCGAAGTTAATCTGGTCGCTAGTAAATCAAGGGTAGCCCCATTGAAACCGGTGACCATTCCCCGTTTAGAGTTTTGCGGTGCTAAATTGTTAGCTGAGTTGGTTCAAATGGTAATTTCATCGATGACAATCAATTTTGATGAGGTCATCTTATGATGTGATTCAAAAATTGTTTTGTGTTGGCTGAAGAAGTCACCTCTGGCGTTGAATCAGTTCGTCGCCAACCGGGTGACAGCGGTGCTGGAACTAAGTCCTGGTTACACTTGGAATTATATCAGGTCGGAAGAAAATCCTGCAGATGCCATCTCGAGAGGTAAAATGCAAATCGACCTGGTGAACAAAAAATTGAGGTGGAATTGCCTATCTATGCTGTGGAAGCAGGCGTTTAAAACAGATGAGCCAGAAGAATTGGAGGAATCAGTCCTGTCTGACATCAGGCAAGCAAGGGTGTTGGCGGCTGTGAGAAGTGAACCGCCAATGCAATTCAACAGAGTGAGTGATTACAGGAAGCTTCAAAGGGCTTGGGCCTACGTGATGAGGTTTATTGACATGAAGAAAGAAAAAGATGTGATTAGTGTTATCAAGAGTGTTACGGCAGAAGAAATGATGAAGGCCGAAAAGGTTATTGTCAGGCTGATTCAGCAAGAAACGTTTAGTGATCATCTGAAGTTGCTACGGTCAAGGTCAGGCAAGCGACACAATCTGTTGAGTTTGGCTCCATTCGTAGGAGAAGATCACCTTATTGGTGTTGGAGGTCGTCTGAAGTATTCTGCAATTCCATACGATGGAAAGCATCAGATGCTACTCCCAGAGAAACATTACGTCGCGGAAATTTTGATTCGGAAATTGCATGAGGAGCATCATCCCGTCGGTCAAGGTGGGCTGCTGGCTTTTGTGCTAGAGCGGTACTGGCCAGTGAAAGCATCAAAAAAGTAATTTCGAAATGCCAAATCTGTGCAAGGTGCTATCCGATAGCACAGAGTCAGTTCATGGGTGACATTCCAGAGTCCCGTGTAAATCAAGCGCCAGTATTTTCAAAGGTTGGAATTGATTATGCTGGCCCGTTTCTACTGAAGCTAGGAGGAGGAGGATACAAAGCATATGTGGTTGTTTTTGTATGCAGGGTACTAAAGGCTCACTTTGAAGTGGCTCCAATCTCACGACGGACAACTTCATTGCTGCACTGCACCGATTTGTGAGCAAGCGTGGTTTGCCAAGTGATATCCATGCAGACAACGGAACTGCATTTGTGGATACCAATCATGAGCTTGCTGCACTCAGGGATTTGTTCAATGGCCAACAACATCAGCGGAAACTGGAAGAGTGAAGGGTATTTGCTGGCATTTTATGCCTCGAAGAAGTCCTCATTACGGTGGCATTTGGGAAGCTGGAGTAAAATCCGTGAATCATCATTTGTCGAGTCGTCGGCGAAACCAAGCTCACTTTTGAGGAATTGATCACATTCTTGGCGCAAACTGAAGCGGTCTTAAATTCCCGACCATTATTTTCAATGTCAGATGATCCAAACGATTTGTCGGTTCTGACTCCTTTCCATTTCTTGATTGGGCGATTGGGTTTGGCAGTACCAGAACCTTCCTACAATGAAGAAAAGATTGGACGATTGAGCAGGTGGCAACACATTCAATTCATGCAACAACATTTCTGGTCACGATGGTCCAGAGAATATTTGCATCACTTGCAAAGTCGGCAAAAGTGGAATAGCAGCGTGAAGAAAATCGATGCTGGAGCGTTGGTTCTGCTTCTTGATGAAATTCTGCCTCCTCAGCAATGGAGACGTGGGCGGATAATCGCATTACATCCTGGCAACGACGACGTGGTCCGTGTAGTGACGGTCAAGACTACGGCTGGCGAGTACAAGAGAGCAATAACCAAGATTGCCTTTCTTCCATGTGTTGAGCTAGAGATCTCAACGCGGGGAGAATGAACGGAAGAAAAATGACAATGTCAGAATAAAAGAGAAAAAAAAAACTGGTTGCTTTGATGGCGCACATAATGTGTATTTCAGCGTGGCGCAGGGCACTATAGACAAGAGCTTTTTTTATGGTTTAGTAAAAGCACAAAGCGCAAACGTGAATGAGATTAGGAAAAAATAGGGAGAGTACAGTCCATTCAAAGGAGTGAATGAGTTCAGTTCGCTCTGTAAAAAAGGTGTTAATAAAACTAAGAATTGTTCAAGGCAAAATCGTGTGTTGTGATTTAGTGACTAATTTCCCTGCACCAAGCTATCGAACTAAACACATTCAAAAGAATGTTAAATTTTATATAAATAGAAGAATGCTACGTTTATTTTTCATTTTTTGAAAACACACTTTCCAGAACATGACAGTTACGTTCATGAATGGAAAGTGTGTTTTCAAAAAATGAAAAATAAACGTTACTTTAATAAAAATAGCATTCTTGCTCGTGAGATTGTATCTAAAAAAAATAATGTATTACTCAAATAAGGGTATTATTCAAGTAGCAGCGGTCATCGACAACTGAATTTTTTATATGTACCTGTCAATCTATCTGATTTCATCGTATTTCTAAGTGCACAACGTTTTGGCTGTATCTCATAGGCAGGCATGGACAATCATTTGCATTCATTTCGTGCATTCATTTACATTCATTTGTCCCTAACTTTTTTCGTCAACAAAATTCCACAAAATGATGTATTGAGTTTTTGTAGGCTTTGTTATTAGCTACAACTTTTGTTAACAACTCAAATCCGTATCTCTTATGCATGACGAACCAGAGCGAACAGAAGCCACTACTGTTTTTTAGTGAATGTATTTTACATTCACTGAAGAACAGTAACAAGTTCTGCCCGTTCTAGTTCTAGTTCTAGTTTCTAGTTCTAGTTCTAGTTCTAGTTCTAGTTCGTGATGCATAAGAGATACAGATGTGAGTTTTGACCAAAACTTGTAGCTAATAACAAAACCTACAAAAGCTCTTTACATCATTTCGCAGAATGCTGTTGATGAAAAAAGTTAGAGGCAAATGAATGTAAATGAATGCATGAAATGAATGTAAATGATTTTCCATGCCTGCTCATAGGAACGTATTTGTCACTTTTAGGACCACAATTAAATTATGCACAGAAGTAAATAAATGAGCTATTTATGATTCAATATAGTGAAAATCCTGCCCAGAACATGAGAAAAATAATTTAAAATTATTATTGTGCTAACTAGGGGAATTTACGTATTCTCGTCAATCTAAGTAGCGTCCGCACTTCTATTAGCATTTTCACAGCGTCACGCACATATATGACGTGTCTGTTTGTTTCAATTCATCTGCTGCTTGCTTTTCTATCCATTCCAATCGACAGAATTCTTCAAAACTGTTTGAAAGCGTTTTTACAACGCTCTAAACTTCTCAGGTGAGTGTGACTATAGTCGGCAGCCTCTTTTTCTTCGGCAACCTTCCCATTAGAACTGCGTGTTAACCAGCTGTTCTATTATCGGCAACTCGAAATCAGCCCCATTTTGTATTACGTATGCTTCATTTGAAGAAAAATCTGGCATAACAGGATTGCTCGGTCCTACAAATATAATCAGATTGAAGCTGAAAGACTAAAGAATCATTTGGATACATTCAGGGAAGTGTGTTGATGGTAAAACATAGTGAAATTAACGTTTAAATTTTGATTGCCGAAAACAGTCAATGGGTGCCGAAGCCGACATTTACCCTATTTGTCCAAATCATTTTCCCTTGGAAACACATCTAGTAGACGAGTTTTCCAAAGTGTGGTGAAAATTTAAGCCCAAAATATTAAGAAATAAAAAATCCCGCCCATGGTGAAAATAGGCAATTTGTTTACAATTTGGATACCTGCCGGTAATTGTTAAAATTTTAGTTTTTCTTCATTTTATTGATTTGAACGGTTCAAGCGAGTTAATTTCACGGATCCGTAAATTATAGTTTTATCATAATTTTAATATTAGCATAAAATAAAATAGTTATTTTAAATTCGCTTTTGTAATGCTAAGGTAAATAGTTTGCTTTGAGTGTAAAGTTAATTTATAAGAAAGTTCTAACAGTTTTTTTGCACTTCGAAACTTGACGGGTCATACCTCTAACATAGTAGCAGTGACAGTGTCGCATGTCCTAACAACAACTGCCTGCGACTAGTGTTCGAGGGGCCGACAGGGCTGAATAAGGGTCAATACTAACAAAACTATTACACTAACATGACCCCGAAACTAACGTTCATCCATATAATAGTTATAATGTAGTTGTACTTTCCTAATAACCCCTCTATAACAGACAAACAGACATAACACTCGCAGGTTGTTCATCGAACACGCATTTGACGGTCAATTTTAGTGTTTTGATTGGTGGTGCCGCCACCTGTGGCGCGCACGGTCGGTTCCCTTGCGTTTGACGTCTGCACACTAGCGCCATCTATTCAGTGTACTATCCATCACATGATACTCAACAGATGACGTTAGTGTTTTAGTGACTATGTTTTGTGGAGAGAAATATTAAATGTGTTATTTCTGTTTGTCTGTGCATCTATGCTTCTTTTTCGTTGTGTGTGTGTGTGTTGGGGGGGGGGGGGGGGGGTTAATGTAACCAATACTAATACCTTTCTCTCTGTTCTTTTATTCGTTTTCTATATCCCTTCACCATCACCCCATATCCCATCATCGACGAGAGATGAGTTACTTGCATGGTGCACGCCCAAGTCGTACTTCAGGATAATATGCCGAGCGTGGTTATATCACAAAAACCACGCAGGAACGGAAATCAATGGAGCTCAAGAGTAATGAGGTAAATTCTACACAGTATTTTAAAGGAGCCAACTCTAAGCAGGTAATAATAGCAATTAATAATCAAACAACTAATAAAAATGTAAGAATGAATTTATTTATTTTAAATACAGTAAGGGTGTCCACGATGAAACCCGATTTTGTCAGACCCTTCGCGCTTCAGACTTTTTTCTTTCAATAATTTCACATACCCATAAATAAATTTTTCTCATTCATCATTAAGAGGGATATTTAAAGTATACTTTGGTGCAATAGGTTCAAGAAGATTACTAAAAAAAAGGCATGGGTTTTGTAGATCATTGGAAAACATTTTCAAAAAAGGGGGCTGACAAAATCGGGACATTATTGTATTCCATTTACATTTACATGATTTATCACATATTTCCGGAGAGCTTCGAGGTTGGAGTATAGTTGCTTTTGTAGATAGGGACGTCATTTGTCGGTTTCTCGCGAATTTGGGCACAGTCTGGAAAAACTAATAACACAAACAGGTAGAGGAATAGTTTCTCTATGATTTGGTATAGTTTGTTTGCAGGATTGTTCTTTTGTTCGCGGGAGACCGGCGATTGGCGTGTTTGTTTGCAGAAGCGATTGCGCCCAGATCTCGGGGTTCTCCGGATTTATGGTCGTAATCTAATACACACAGTTGATCACAATACGAGCCTAAAAGCTGCAGTGACCTAGTGAGCACCATAGCTCGAGTCGTCTGTTAGTATTGTGTATCGCATGGAGAGCCCAAACGAGATGCTAGCCTATTAAGACTGCAGTTGGTCAACTCTCGAAAAAAAAATTGGATACCTGCCGGTAATTAGCCTGTTTACTGTAGTTACTATAACAAAAACATAATGTGAGTACCCTGTTAGTTGTACTGTCTGCAGTAAAAAACCTTTAAATTGACTTTCTAAGATCTCGAATAGCTTGTTGGTTGTGGAGTAATCTCTTCTGAAAGTTGGAATTTTTTAAAATATTGAAAATTCAGGGCTGTAGCCCAGAAGGATGTAGGCATTTTAGAGTAAAATAAAAAAGGCGTTTGTTCAGAATGCCAAAATAACCGTTTGGCCAAGTTTAGCTCAAATCGGTGACATCGGGAATCGGTAAATCTGCAGTAAAAAGCCTTTAAATTGACTTTCTAAGATCACGAATAGCTTGTTGGTTGT